ATGACAACCAACCCCAAAACTGCACATGAAGCACACGGGCAGGAGGCCTCTGTTGGGATATTTGTGAGCTCTCTTCCTGTTTGTCATGAAAGCATTTACTGTTTGTTATGCACGCTAATTTCTAGTTAGAGATCCAATAGTATTGTCTGCACGTTTTTCCCACTAGAGCAAGGTGACAGAATGCATAATTAGCTAGTGTTGGGAATCTTCAATTGGTTAATCAGTAGTTTGGGGACGAGCCAAGGAAGAGAGCATAGGGTTTCAGTTTATCGGTCTTTGCTCCCTCACCCTGAAGTTCTCTCTCTGAGTCTGAAGTTAAGTTCTTAGAGCTAGTAAGGATGACTTATTTTGCTTTGTTCTCCAAGTTCCCTTTACCTGATCTTTAGTAAAGTTATCTTTTTATAGACAAATACACATGTGTCTGGCTGCTTTAGTCTACCTCTGCTAATTTTGAATCTCAATACCTAACAGCCTCCTGCTACAAACTGGCAACTGGTATCCAGAACTGCCAAAGAAATACAAGTTCCAAACACTAATTGAGTAAGACATCCCTTTCTTTTTGTATGTATCAGGGTGTGCAGAAAGATGGAAAGCCAGCAACGGCACCTTAAAGCGCAATATCTATCCAGTGTAAAGATATCTCAGGGCCTCTGAGCCTCCTTTTGGAGGATTTTTTTTCACTTGGGAATGTGAGCATACACTCAGGAGATACTCATTCCTCCTGTAACAATCCTCAAGGCATCTGGCAACACATCCTGAGGAACATGATCAACCAGGTGTCTGCTTGTAGACAGGAAGGGCTGCTGGTGGAAGCCCTCTTGTTCACAAGTAGACCAGCCAGAGAAGACAGTCGACCTATTGCAAAACTGCAGCAGGCAGAAGCCGGTCCACTTGAGAGGAAGGGGTGGGGAGTCTCTCTCCCCTGCAGATTCACTGGTGGGGGGAAAGTTGGTGACAGTGCTCCTTCTAAGCTGAGTTAGTGTCAGCTAGCTCACTTTTTTTTTAGCCTCCAGCTCACACATTATTGTCTGAGCTCAGGAAGGAGGGCTCCAGAGCAAACTAATTTATGCAGTAGCCAAATCACTCACTCACAACTTTAATGCCAGTAGCTCACAAAGTAGAACTTTTGCTCACAAGACTCGGCAGCTTAGAGGGAGCTTTGGTTGGTGGTCAGGACTCCTTTCTTGCCAACACCTCTGCTCGTGAGAAGTTGCCTGTCTTCCTTTCCAAAGGTCAACAGAACAACTCAGCGGAGGCAAGGAGAAGAAAAAGTCAAAAGCAGACACTGCCTTAGTGAAAAAGGAACTGAACACTGCAAGGATGATTTCAGGTGGGTAGCCGTGTTTACTAGCAGTAAAGCCCGTTGTGAAAGCAATACAACGAGATCTAGAAAGAGGCTCTGGGGGAGTGCTCTGGCTTTGGGCAAACAGTGTCAATTTGCTGTGGTGACCTCAGCAGGGTATAATGACAGAGTCCACTGTTTTCTCCAGAGGAACTGATCTCTGCTACCTGAAGAGCAGTTGTAATTGTGAGTGATCTGTAGCCCTCACCTGGAGATTGGCAGCAATTGTTACCCAGGACAAAATGGCTGGTTTGGAGGGTGGAGTTGGCAACCCCATCTCCTTCCCAGCTAACCATCAACCTATCATTATCTGCCCCTTTGACTTCAGCTGACTTCTGCCCTCCCTTCTGCAGAGCAGTTGTAATTCTGAGTGCTCTCCAGCCCTCACCTGGAGATTGGCAACAATGGTTCCCTATGTGGGTCTGATTGGTTTGGTGGGTGGAGTCTATGGCATTGTACCTGTCTGAGGTCCCACCCCTCCTCAAACCTCACCCTCTTCAGGCTCCATCCCTCAAATCTCCAGGAATTTCCCATCTGGAGTTGGCAACCCTATCAGGACTGGCCCCAATGTGTTTTCTCCCAAAGGCCAAAGTAGGTGACAGGACCAAGCTTAGTTGCCTACCAACAGGCACTGAGGGGAATGTAGGGTTGCCAGCTCTAAGGAGGGAAATACCTGGAGGTTTTGGGGGTGGATTCTGTAGAGGGCCGGGCGACGGAGGCATCGGCCTTCCGTCACCCACCTCGCCCCCCCAATCTCGGCCCGGGCGACCGCGGCTCCCACCAGCGGCTGCCCGACTCCAGACCCCCCCGCGCCCACTCCAACCGGGCGACAGAGGCATCGGCCTTCCGTCACCTGCCTCACCCCCAATCTTGGCCGTCCTAAAGATTTTCCGAAACACTACTCTGTCGATAAATTGCAACAGTTTGAATTAGCACCAAAGCTTTAAGAGCTCTCCAGCTGTCACCTGGAGACTGGCAACAGCTTGTCTGGAGTGTGGGCAGTATGGCATTGTATCTGTCTGAGGTCCCCCTCTTCCTCCTCCTCCTCAGACCCCACCCTCAGCAGGCTTCATCCCTAAAATATCCTGGAAGTTTCCAACCTGGAGTTGGCAACCCTATGTCCTTTCCACGCAACCATCAGCCAACCTTTATCTGCCTGTCTGTCTTAAGTTTTACATCCCCCTTCCCACAGCCTCTGGCTAGGGAATGGGCAGTCTTTCCCTGCAGTGGGAACCAAAGCAGCTGACATCATTCTCCTCTCCCCCGTATGATCCGCACAACTACCCTATGAGGTATGTTAAGGTTGAAAGTGTGTGAATGGTCCATAATCCCCCAGACAGCTTTTAAGTGAGGACATATGTTACCTCAGAATACAGCAGTTCCCATATGCAACTGAAAATTCCAACTGCCTTGCAGGGGGGGGGAGTTTGAGGTGTGGAATGGAGTGAAGTCCAATCAGCTTCCACATGCAAAAGACCTTGAAACGCTGGGCGGGACTGCACAAAGCAGCCAGTCAACCCAGCCAGCGTCTTCTGAGTGGCAGTTCTTCCAGCCAAACACTAAAGGGGCCAAATTTAGAATGTTGCAATATAGAACGTTGCTATATATTCCCCTGAAGAAGCCTGTTGGGGAAACATGTAGCCGTAGGGAATTTTAACTGAGTAATAAAGTATATTTTTGCTTTCCTTGCACCACTGGACTTATTTATTTATTTTTATCTCTTAGCAACCGGTGTGGCCCTTTTTATTTTCTCTTCGCAACTCAAAGGCCAACAAGATTGCTGAGGATGTCAGAAAACAGGCAGATTAGCATCTCCCCTCCTTCTGGGCAACCCCGAACCCGGGGCAATGAGTCTGTGGGCGACGTGCAGACCACGTACACAAAAGGGCAGTACAGAAATTACATACATGTAATTACCAGCTTGCTGCTAGGCCGCGGGGGCTGAGACGATGCCTTGTGAACAGACCTTGCTTGAAATAAATATCCTGGCTGGGGAAGCAGAGTTACTACCTTGAATTCAAAACGCCAGTTTCTTCGCCATCGGGTATGACGGCAAGAAGGTGGGGAGGACTATAGAAGCGTTTCCTTGGGACTAGGGTTGCCACCTTCCAGGTAGGTCCTGGAGATTTCCTGGAATTACAACTGATCTCCAGACTGCAGAGATCGGTTCCCCTGGAGAAAATGGCTGCTTCAGAGGGGGGAGTCTACAGCATCTCACCTAGGGTTGCCATTCCCCAGTTGGGGGTAGGGGTTTGACTAGGGTTGCTAAGTCCTACCTTTGTAATAGTGGGGGGAGTCCTGGACGTCCCCGGGAGTCTCCTGGCGCACGTCCCACGATCACGTCACCCGGAAGTGACGCAATCGCGTCGGGCACGTTGGGAGGGGGGCCACAATCATTCAATGGAAAACCATACAGTTTTCCCTCGGATGATAAGAGTGTCCCCCCGCAACGTGCCCATCGCAATTGCGTCACTTCCAGGTGACATGTTCACACCAGATACGTCATGCACTTTGGGGGTGGGGTCCCCCCGCCGGCCCAATCTCCACCGACGGGGAACGGGCCTCTTGGGCAGGGGTTTCTCCACCCCCCAGGGGAACTTGGCAACCCTAGGTTTGACTGGTTTTGTGGGCTCCTGCCCGCTGCCGGCCAGTGGGAGGACACCCCCACCAGCAACGTTGTGAGACGTGGTCACCCGGAAGTGACATGGGCACGCCAAGGACGACACTCTGGTTTTGTGGCAAAACTCAATGGTTTGAGGGTGATTTTACCATAGAGTTTTGCCCAAAAACCACAGCTTGGCCCCAATGTGCCCACATCACTTGGAAGTGATGTAAGCACACTGTGCGACATCACTTCTGGGGGGGGGGGTAATGCTTCTGGCTCCTGGAACATCCCCCCCACCATTCCCCTGCCAGAGTTTCCAATGAACTCGACAACCCTAATCATGTCCCTGCTAGGCTCCATCCCCTCCCTAAATGCCACCCTCCTCAGGCTCCACCCCAAATCTCCAAGAATTTTTTAATCTGGAGTTGGCAACTCTATTTTGGGACATACCTCAAGAAAAACAGGTGGTAGCTGTCCCTGTAGGTAGAATTAGGAAAAGCAGACACAGTATTTTTGGGGGGAATGGACAAAAGGAAATACTTCTTTACACAGAGGGTGATTAACATACGGAATTCACTGCCAGAGGATGAAGCGATGGGCACAGACACAGACAGCTTTAGAAGGGGATTAGATAGATTCACGGAGGACAGGTCCATCAGTGGCTACTAGCCATGCTGACTAAAGGGAACCTCCTTGTTCAGAGCAGTAAACCTCTGAATACCAGTGCCTGCAGGCAACATCAGGAGAAGGCCTCAGCCTCTATGCCTTCTTGCTGGACCTCCAGAGGAAATGGTCGGCCACTGTGTGAGACAGGATGCTCGACTAGATGGACCCCGGCTTAAACCAGAAGGGCTTTTCTTATGTTTTTAATAAAGTGATCGTTGAGACATAAAGCCCAAAAAACGTTTTCAAATAAAGGGATGCCCATTTGTGTCCTCTTAAGTACAGAAATGTTATCTCCAGAAGCACAGTCTGGCTGAGCACATAAAATTTTTCTTGGGCAGGTGACCACTCTCCAGTCCCTCTGCTTCCAGAGAAAGGGGCTGCAGTTACCTGAATTGTTTTGTCCCACTAAGTGCCCATTGGGGGCAAGAGCATCCCGCTGGGGCATTTCTGAAGATTTTGTGTCCAATGTCCGTCTTTCTTCTATGAAGATCCAGGAGTTGTGAGGAGAGAAAAAACTGCACTCCGGAGGCCGTTCCCGTTATGTGCAGAGCTTCTGCCTCTTTTAACCTGTAATCAGAACACCAGATCAGGACATCAGACTGGGCTGACAAACCGGTGCTCAAGTAACGAAAAGCCTTGTGCGACGCTGCACACAATAACACAGAGCTTTTCACAGCACAATCCTGGACAGGTGTATACCAGGACTGCCAAGGGCCCCCAGACAAAGAAATCATTTGGGGGGCCCATGTGACCTTGATAAAAACCAAATTATTATTGGCTTGCTGTTACCACCTATGATTAGAATAATTGTTCATTAAGGGAGAAACATTGCCCTTACCTGGATATCCCAGGATAGCCCAACCTCATGAGATCCCAGAACCTAAGCAGGGTTGGCCCTGGACAATACTTGGATGGGAGACCACCAAGGAATACCAGGATCGAGACCCAGGGGCAGGCAACAGCAAACCCCCTCTGAATGCCCCTTGCCTTGAAAATCCTATGGGGTCGCTGTAAGTCAGCTCTGACTTGACAACACTTTCCACCCCCAAGGAAGAAACATTAGGGGAAAAGGACAGCATAATTATAAAAACACATTTTTACTTGACTTATCTACACATTGCACATTTCAATACAATATGCTGCAAAAAACAATAACCCCACTTTCAAATAATAACTACCTAGCACTGGTCAACATGAAAGGCGAGGAGACAGATTCAAGGAAATCTAGCTTCTTCCCCAAAAGGGTCTCTTCTCCAAAATGAAGAATGAGCCCTGGCTTCCTCCCCCTCCCCCTCCCTCCAGTCTCAGCTGCTTCTAAACAGTCCAGGAGGGATCTCCTCTGTTCTTTAGGGAGCCCTCATTTAGAGCACGCATACTGACAAATGTGAACAAAAGAAAAAAAATTACAGCGTGCATTCTCATTAAAGAAGACGACGACATTGGATTTATTCCCCACCCTTCACTCAGAGTCTCAGGGTGGCTTACAAACTCCTTTCCCTCCCCCTCCCCACAACAGACACCCTTGTGAGGCAGGTGGGGCTCAGAGAGCTCTTTCGAGGACTCCCCTTGAGAGAACAACTCTGAAATAACTTGTAACTGACCCAAGGTCACACCAGCAGCTGCATGGGGAGGCGTGGGGAATCAAACCCGGTTCTCCCAGATTAGAGTCCGCACCCCTAACCACCACACCAAACTGCCTCAATTAAAAAGAGCCATAAGAATCAGAAAAACTCCCCAGCCAAGGAACCTAACCAGGACACTGTGACGTGCTTTATAAAGTAAATGTGAGGCACGAATTACGGCTGGCAATAAACCCCATTGAATATAGTGATACACATTGATATAAAGGAGATTAATGGGGGAAGGAAAATGGGGCACATGTAAAAAGTTCATCTAATCCTCCATGGGAAGGATGCAGGTGGATCTGAGATCCACATCGGCACTAACTCTAAAAAAGCATCTCCAGTCTCTGGATATTGAAATCCAACTGACTCTGGCTCTCCCTTCCTCTCCACTCCCTGTCTTCTGCCCGATTCTGCATCCCCAAATCCATCCTGCGTCTGTGTCCTTTGCCAGCACCAAATGCCCCTCACAGTTCCAGTGCAATTATCCCAGTTCCAGTGCAATTATTCCAGTGCAATTATCCCTCACAGTTCCAGTGCAATTATCCCAGCCCAGATCTTTGGTTTCCCAACTGTTTTCTTACTAGCTCCTACTCCTGTGCCTCTCACAGCTGCTGCCCGGACTGCAGGAATGAGACAGTAATAAATGTTTGCTCTGTTTGGTCAACAGTGTGCCACTTGCTGATTTCTCTAGGTCAGGCTTCCATTAAAGCAGGGGTGGCCAAACTTGCTTAATGTAACAGCCACACGTCAGATGTTTGAGAGCCGCAAGACCTATAAAGCCCTACATGGCCAGGGTCCAACCTACCTGAGGGACCGCTTTTCCCCGTATGTTCCCCCAAGAGCACTATGGTCAGGGGCCCAAAATGTGCTAGCTATCCCGGGCCCCAGGGATACCAAACTGGCCGCTACCAGGGCCAGGGCTTTTTCGATGGCGGCTCCTACCTGGTGGAACGAGCTCCCAGGGGCGATCCGGGCCCTGCGGGATCTTATGCAGTTCCGCAGGGCCTGCAAGACGGAGCTCTTCCGCCAGGCTTTTGAGTAGGAGCCGCCGCCCGCCCCCCACTATAATACCATCGTTGTGGGTTGGATGTGGCCCTGTGGCCCTGAGGAAACATCTGAACATGAAAGAAGCCTTCAACCGTCTACCAGGAACTTCGGGCATACATTCCGTCATCTTTTGGACTATGAAGACACCGAGCACTTTGTTTAAATTAGGATTTTTAGACGTACTGTATGTTTTTAAACTGTTATGTATATTATGTTTTATCATGGCAAGGTTAGCCCTGCATCTGTAAGCCACCCTGAGCCCAAAGGGGAGGGCGGGGTATAAATATGAAAAATAAATGAATGAATGAATGAATGAATGAATGAATGAACAAATATTCCACATATGTTTTTATTGAAAAATATGCAAATTTACTTTTCTATTAACATTAAATTCATGCGAAAGAGAAACATGCAGCTCCCAAACTGCAATTTGGCCACCCCTGCATTAAAGGCAGATAAGCAAACCAAGCCTCTTTATGGGTCAGCAGGCAACCTTATCCGGACCTCAAACTCCCGCGGCATCTTAGACACTGATCTGTTCCAGGTGGTCAGCCCTGTTGCTCTGAACTTTATTGCACACGAAAGCTCCCACCTTGAATAAACCTTTGATGGTCTTAAAGGTGCCTCTGGACTCTGAAGTTCTTCTAGACACTCATTTGTTTCAACCAATAGCTTCTTTGGAGGAACTGCCTGGAAACTATTTTTGGCCTCTAGTATCACAACGTGAGGTTTCACAGGGCCTGTCCCCTCCATCATATTCTTTTCTTGGGGCATGAAGTAATTGGGAACTCCCCATCCCCACAGCACTCCCCGCTCATTTACCAGAGGGCAATCCTGTTCTTGGTGTAGAGAAGGTTCTCTTTGCAAGTGATGAAATGAGGCAGGGAACAGGCAGCAAATGGTGGGCTTTTTGCAAAGAGGAGAAGAGGAAAAGATTCTCTTGCTCTTCATGCGGATGACAGTACAAGGGTGAAGGAGCAGGAAGGGGATGGCAGAAGAATCTGAGACAACACTCAGACAGACAGGCAGACAGACGTGTATGTGTAGGAGAGAGACAGATTGCAGCCAAAAGGACAGAGCAGCGTCTTCTCAGGAAAGCTAAATAATACCATGTAGGTTGTCAGAGAGCCTCTGCTCAGGGCCCTCAAGCTACCTTTGGGCTCTGGGAATTTTGTCTTCCCAGTCCCCCTCTCCCAGGGGGGCCTGGCCTATTTCAGTCCAAGTCACCATTTGAAGACCATTAGGCTGAGAGAGAGCGCGACTGGTTCTAGGTCACCCAGTGAACACATGAAACCAACATCAACTGAATCAGGCCAGAGGTCCATCAAGGTCAGTATTGTCTATTCAGCTTGGCAGCAACCTCCCCAGAGTCTCAGGTGGAGGTCTTTCACATTACCAACTACCTGATCCTTTTAACTGGAGATACCTGGGATTGAACCTGGGACCTTCTGCATACAAAGCAGATGCTCTACCACTAAGCTATGGCCCTGCCCAGCAACAGGGTTGCAAGGTTCTGCCTCCTTCCCGGAGGGGGACTTTGGGGGGCATTCCAAGCGGGGGCAGGGACATCCCCAATGCCTGATGTCATGCAGAAGTGACATCATCACATTGGGAATGCAACCCCATGGAAAGCACCCTCCACCCTGGCTTGCAAGAACCCTTTAAAGGGAGCTTTTTTTTTTTGAGGAGGGGGGGCCCCTCACACACCTGAACTCCAAGCAGCCACCCCTCTCCCTCCCCTCCTGCGAGATTTAAAGAGCCCTCCAACTGATTGGTGGATGACGTGCTCCCACCAATAACCTCGAGGGCCCTTTAAATCTTGCAGGAGGGGAGGGAGAGGGGCGGCTGCTGGTGGGGGTGGGGCTTCCTGTGAAATTGGGGGATCTTACCCCCACCCCCCGGGAATTGGCATCCCTTTTATAGCAGTTTGATCTGCAGTAAACGCCAGGTGAAACTTCCCATGTCCTTGGAAAGCTTCAACTTCCCCTTTCCATACATTGTTGTTCAGTCGCACAGTCGAGTCCGATTCTTCGCGACCCCATGGACCAGATTACGCCAGGCCCTCCTGTCTTCCGCTGTCCTCTGAAGTTTGCTCAATTTCATGTTCGTTGCAGCGATGACACTGTCTAACCATCTCATCCTTTGCCATCTCATCCTTTTCCATACATTAAGGCTCTATTAAAGGAACGGGACTTTTTCTCCAGGCTGGTGGGCAACCCTGGAAGCATCCTGGAAGCCTCACAAAGCCTGAGAAGCCTCTGAAGCCTTTACCCACTGAGAGCTGGGGATTCTGTCTTGGAAGCAGCATGTGGGAAATCGGCACCTTTTTCATGCACTGGAAGCACACCAGCCTTCACACCACCAGATGTAGGGGTGAGGCTCCTCACCATGCCATTGCAGAAGCCTCTGGGGCCTTCTTTTGGTTTTAGGGTGGCCAAAAACCTGGAGGAAAAATGTCCCACCCTTTAAAACAGAGGATTAATTGGCTGCCATGCCATGAAAAGCTCCAGCTACCCATTTCTATATATTAATCTCCTCTTAAAGGGGACCCTAGCCTGGATAGCCAAAGGCTAGCCTGATCTACTCAGATCTCAGAAGCTAAGCAGGGTCAGCCCTGGCTAGTATTTGGATGGGAGACCTCCAGGGAATACCAGGGTCGTGACACAGAGACAAGGAATTGAAAACCACCTCTGAATGTCTCTTGCCTTGAAAATCCCATTCGGTCACCATGACTCAGCTGTGACTCAATGGCAACTTCTTAATTGTTTTTAGTGCTGGGTAAGATAAAGAGTACCTCACACACTGCAGCAGTATTGTTTCCCCTTCTGTGGCACATCCATATTTAGTGCTGTCAGCAGCCCCAAAACAGTATTATGGGTGCCATTTTTTCTAGGA